GAAAACCGTATACCCTAGCTTGTCGTGCATTCTTTCCAAAAATCGGGACTTTTTTAAAACGCCGCGGGACGTGAGAAAAATTGTTAAAAAGCGGGACTGTCCCACCAAAAGCGGAACGTCTGGTCACCTTACCCTTAGGTCCTGATTGCCCACAAAGGTCACTAACTCCAGGAAAGGACTAACACCCCTCAGTCCTGGTTATCCCCAAGTGTCAGTCTGTGGCCTCAGGGCACCCCTTAGGTCAACCCCACTACCACTCAAGTGGACTCCCTTCAACATTGCCACTCAGGTTTCATTAGCCCAGGACCAGCTCTCTCCGTGTCACCTCTCAGACCCCATTGTCCCCAAGTGTCAGACCCTCGGCTTCAGGGTTTCCCTCAGGGCCACTCCCCATGTCAGGATGCCCTTCCACACCCAGGGCTACCTCTCCAACTCCAGGACTAAACTGCCACCTCTCCCAGAGCCCCCCAGTGTCGCCTGATCCACCCTCCTGCCACAAAAGCCAGAACTTCCTGGGAAGGGAAGAGAAGGGATGGACAGAATCACACTCAGAAATTAAGCCAGGACAACTTTTATTGATCAGGCAACACAGTACAAACTGCCCCTCTCCCCCGACCCCACTTCCCATCCCCAAGCTTCTGTCTGTCCCTCCCTGGTTGGGTGGGGGCTCCAGGCCAGTCCTGAGGACCTGGGGACAGCAGCTGTCCTAGTGAGGAGGGGCATGCTCTATGTCCCCAGCCCCACCCCATCTTATCCCGGACTCCTGGCAGTCTCAGCCTGTTTCCATGTCCTGGGACACCACCACCCCAAGGGGTCCAAAACAGGCCTGCCAGTGGCTTTTCTTGGTCCACAAGAGTCTCTGTCCCTGCCTGTGTCAGAGAAGGGGTCCAGTGTTCCTCCCCCCACCCCACTCCCCAAGTTAGGAAGCTGCGGAGCCCAGGGAGAAGAGGCCAGGCAGGCTTAGGTCAGGCCAGGCTGGTTCCGGAAACCTGGAGCTGGCATTTAACGGTCTGGGGGCCCAACACCGCTTCCTCTTGGGTAACTAACTGGTGGCCAGGCTAAGGAGAGGAGGGGCTGAGGCTCCAGGCCTTGGGCAGGGGCAGGGAGGGGGGCGGTGTCATCCAGGCTGGGGACACAGCTGGCTTCCCTTCTTCACAGGAGGGCTGCCTGGGAGCCCAGCCCAGTGAGAGGCCACGTGGGGGGTCTCCAAGTGCAGACTGGGGGAAGGGGCCTGCTGCAGACAGCTGGGCACCACCAGGCCCACCCACTCCAATCCCAAGCCCCACCCCCTCCCAAAGCCTTTCCTTAGATGACGCAGGGTCTGGGTCCAGGTCTGCTGCAGAAGGTGGGGGGATGGGGGTGGCCACAGGCTCCGAGGGGGCACGACTCCTGTTCCTGCTGAACTGAGCCAGTCTGCACATATCCACTGTGTTTCAGCTCAGTAGGCACAGGAGGCAGAGCCCAGGGAGCCTGACTTGTGGCGGTGGCGGCGGCAGCAGCAGTGGTGGGGAGGGAGGGTGGCAGGGCCAGGGCGAGGCGGGGGCCCCGGGGGCGGAACTTAGCCACTGTGAACACGATTTGGTGTGGAACCTGCTCACAAGCAGCTAAGCCCTGCTCCTCAGGCCAGGCACCGGCGGAGCCTCCCTGCCACCCCTTCCCCTTCCCCGAAGCCTCTCTGTGGTGGTGGTGGTGGTAGTGGTGGTGATGGTGGCGGTGGCCCGACGGCAGGGCCCAGGGTCGGTTGGAAATCCCTGGCAATGTGATTTGTGACAGGTAGCAAATCCCATCCCCAGGAACCCCCGCCGGCCGTGGCACAGGGTGGGGGCACCGGCAGGGCCTGCAGCTGGCACCTAAGGGGGGATAGAAGAAAGGTGATGAAATACAGAACACTCCCACCCTGAGGTCCTAGCCCGCCACCTCTGAGACCTCTCTGGGACGACAGCAACAGCAGGGAGAACCAGACTAGGAGGCTGACCCCACCCACCCCGCCTCGGTCTCATCTCACTACCAGGCCTCAAGAAATCTGTTTAGGTCAAAGAGTGTTCAAAACACCCAAAGCCCAGTCCTGCACCCACCCTCACCCCCCCTCCAC